AAGGGCAGTCTCGAGTATCATCATCTTACACATGAAACTTTTATGTTGACTTCTACTCCTGGCTAATTTACATCTGTAGTCTAAGAAATGCCTTCCGCCAGCTCCTGATAGCTCATACCTGAAATCCTAGCTACTGAGGAGACTTGGAACATGGAAGGTGGAGTTTGGAAGTCAGTTAGGCAAAAATGTCTGCACGATGCCATCTCCAATTAACCAGGAAAAAACCAAGCTAGAGGCATGCTAAAATGGTAATGTACCAGCAGTGAGCAAGCAAACCAAGCCAGAGCACGGGCTATGAAACCTAGAGTTTAAGCCTTGGTACTTGTGTGAGCATGTGTGCACGTGTGTGTGCGTGTGCACAAGCGCACACACACATCAGAAAAGTAGAAATAAAAGAAATGCCTTGAGAGCAACTAAAGATGCATCCTAATACAATAAAAATTAACATGTGTATGTGTATGCTAATATACCCATGGATAATATGAATATTATTTTATTCATATTTCATTCATCCTTGTCTCCTGCAGAGACTGATTGATGTCTTCAAGGTTTCCGGTGGTTTGATGACATGGTTTTCCAGTACATGTTCCAAGCTTCTTTTACAATCATTATTTCTATGAAGTCATTCAACTTGGAAATAATTGCCTGCCAAAACTAAGTTTCTCTGGTGAACCTCTCAACACAGCTTTAGTTTTACAAAGAACATCATTCTTTGTGTGCCATTAATCTTGGCTTAGAAACACCGCATATTATCCTTTCCACTTGAACAATTCAGCCCCTGTTCTTAGTTATACTTTGGAACCATTAGGATTACTTTTGGAATACAAATATGAGTCACCTCACTGGTAAGTTTTAGAAAATGGATTTTCCCATTATAGATATATGAAACCTCTGCCCCAAATAATACTTAGTAGATATTAGGAATATGAGGACTTCCCAAGAGTCCCACATTCATTTTATATAATAAAACCACTAGCATTTTATTGTGTTATTTACTGTTTCTAACTTCTGTGATTAAGTTGCTATGATACTGTATCCCAAAACACAGAAATTATTCAAATTAGTGCTTTTTGCTAAAATACTAAGCACTTAGTTCTATTTTTAATTTGCTTTTAATCTTTTCATTGAACACTGCACATCTGAAATGTCATTAACAGAAAGTCTTAACATGAAAATTTGATAAACAAATGAATAATTTAGATATTCAGTGGATTCTTCTACAGAATACACAATAATTTTGCTATTAATTTACTTTCTAAACAGAATGACTTAAACCACTGAAATGGAACATTGTTTGTTGATATAGCACAGGCTTGACTTAATAAAGCAGACTGCTCACAGGCCATATGGCTATTATGGAAAAGTAAATTGAAATTGCTTTCCTGTTTTACGTTTACAATGAGATCTCTGAAGGTAAAGGAATGTTCCATGTCAAATCCTATTGAAGCTGTGTCTCCCTTTCTTCCGATTTCAGAGAAACTGGGTCATGGATAATTACCAAGCTAGGTTTGTTCGTAAAGGTGATTTGGTCATGGGAATTCTGTGTGAAAATGCAAGCAAGTACAAAGAAAAAAATCATACCCTCAATGTGTGATACTGTTCCATGAAATTAGAATTTAAGGCCACAGAAAAGGGAAAGTTGTACACAGAAAAACTAAGATATTAGAATTTACAACTAATAAACAATTTACAAGTTAGATATTAAATATATCACAGGCTTACAGTATTTTCCTCTTAGAAAAACTGGGAATCTCTCTAAATTGTGAGACATGAAAAGGAGTCTTTTACTAAAAATTATATTTTAGATTAATGCTATCAACTGAAGAAAGTTGCAATTACATGATTCTATTTATATCTTAGGAAGATTTTCTGGCATGCATACAAGTGAATTCTGTTAAATATTTAAATTGGATTTTAAGTATACTCATTATTTTTACACATGAAAGGGTGATAGCAAATTTTAACTTGATGTATCCCCTCCAAACACAAAGGTGTACACCAAGATTGCTTCTTTAACTGAAAATTCTGCTTTTATATACTGTATAGACACTGAAAATCGCACAAGAAACAAATTACATCAAACCCTCTATTCTTGTTCATACTAAATATAGGGCAGGAAATAACAAGGCCTACATTATGTATCTTAAAAAAAGAATTTGAAAAAAACTGCAATATTTTTTGTTTTGTCATTCCTTCTTCATATAACTCAATGGCAGAACATAGAAACTTGGCTAAGAATCTGAAATAATAATTTGATTTTTTTTGTCGGTCTTGGGGCTTGAACTCTGGACATGGGTGATGTCCCTGAGCTCTTCAGCTCTTCAGCTCTTCAGCTCTGCCACTTGAACCACAGCACTACTTCGGTTTCCTGATGGTTAATTAAAGATGAGTCTCACGGGCTTTCCTGCCTGGGCTGGCTTTCAACTGTGAGCTTCAGATCTCAGCCTCCTGAAAAGCTAGGATTACATGTGTGAGCCACAGGTGCCCAGCTAATAATTTGATGATGATGATGATGATGATGATGGTGTGTGTGTGTGTGTGTGTGTGTGTGTGTATGCCAATCCCGGGGCTTGCTGGAACTCAGGGCTTGTGTGCTTTCCCTGAGCTTATTTTTCTCAAGGCTAGTGCTCTACCACTTAAGTCAGAGATCCACTTCCAGCTCTTTAGGAGGAGTTTATTGGAAATAAGAATCTCAAGGATTTTCCTTCCTTTACTGGCTTTGAACCACAAACCTCAGATCTCAGCTCCCTGAGTAGCTAATATTACTGGCCTGAGTCATCAGTGCCTGGTCTGAAATAATAAAATATTTTTAAAAATGCTTTGAGGGCTTGTTTTGTGCTATTTTAGAATGTGAGGCCCTGGGTTCTATTCCCCAGTACCATAAAAAGCAAATCATTTTTAAAATTAAATTTAATATGTCACATTTTAATTTATGTTATATATCTATATCTATATTTACATACACAGAGAAAGAAAATATTTAAACTGAAGACATGTAATTTAAAAATTTTGTCTGAAAGGTTTACATAGGAGACACAGCCAGTTCATATCAGTGAAACCACTTTTATTTTTATTTTTTTTCACATAGATAACTTCATGTCAACTACAAAAATCATGAAATGAAGACCTGAACATGAAATTGCAAAGTCAAATCACTGAAGCAATAAACAAGTTTCCCCCAGATGGATGTTAAAAAAAAGTAACCAGGATTCCATAAATTCATATTTAAGTAGTAAACATGTCATATATTTAAAATAATAAATACAGAATAGCAGTAGAGAACTAATAGCATAAACAGCATGAAGTATACTTTATTTAAGACAGATGAAATTTCTAGGCACAGTTTTAGGCATTAAAGAGGACACAGAGGCATAGGTTAGTGTGCGCTGCTCTGTACAAAAATACAGTCTGAATAAATTACATTGCTAGCCATACAATTAGACATCACTTACCAGTCAGTTCATTTCATGTTTAATAATATACAGGTACATGCTAATCCATATATATCATTTATATTTCAAACACATTGGTCTCTCTATATTATGTCTTTAAAATTTACATGTTGAACTTACAAAAAGCTAAATACTTGTGCAAGAAATCTGATTAACTAGCCCTGCTGAGTACTTTTATGGTATGTGTGAGTATATATTATCTCTCTAAGATAAACAATGGGTTTGTGGTTAACAATTTTGCTTAATAAAACATCAAACAAATCTAAAGTGGCAAAGACATAATGTTAGTGTAGGTGAAATTTTCACTTGTATATATTCTGATAGGCAAAATAGTATTTACGTGAGCAACAGCAAATCTCCTGTTGTACTAAGCCTTCCTAGTAATGAAACACTTCCTAATATTAGTGATGGTAAAAATATAGCATAAGGCTTTTCACTGGGAATGGAGAAAGTTATAAATCTACTTTTCAATAAACTGTAAATGTATGGGCCTCAACCTAACAGATTCTGTCACTTTCCAGTGTGTCATATTGACAGAAAATAAAATTTTGATAAGATTCTAGACATGATACTGGTCTAACAGCACACGGTATCCTCTACTGGGCCCATAAAAAGTGCCTCATTGATGGCAGCACCAAAGTACTGCTTGCTCTTTCATTATTCAGAAATAAAGAGATCATCTCACAATAGAGTATGTTCAGTAGCTCAAATCCCTATCCAAATAGTGTGTTTTTCATGCTGTTCTGACTCTCTGCAATTAACTGCAAGACAGTCTGTCCCAGATCATATATTTCTCAGGAAAATTGCTTGGAAATATCCTATAGTATTAACATCTTTCTGGAAAATTTCCAATCATAGTTTCTTATAGCTTCTTCATAGAATCATATACTTTTATAAAAGTTTCTTTCTAGGACACATTTAATCATTTGTCTATCATTACTAAAAATAAGAATTGGCCTGGTACTTTGTATTTACTTTATGATTCTATAGAAAATTCACAAGTGGTTTTTTGGCAGTTGGATAATAAAATAGGTTCTTTTGAGGGGGGAGGGCTGTGTTTTTTGGCAATTATTTTTAAGACAATCTGAAAGCAGAACTCTGCTCTGGGAGGTAAAGCAAATTATTAAATACTATTGATGTGGTCCTGCTTGTAATGGATTTTGTAATACAATAGCAAGTTGTTGGTATATTTGTTTCCTCATTTTCCAATGCTTCTTTCGGTAAGAGGGCCAAACTAGAACATATTATTTCAGTGTCTTTGTTAACAAAAATAATTATTTATAACTTTCATATTAGAATTGTATATTTTATATAAAAATAGGTTTATAATTAAACTATTCAAATTTGTGTATTAAACAGAATTAACACAAGTTTGCAATATGAGATTAGTTGCAAACTTAGTCCCTATTGTTGATATTTCCTTCCCTTGGAATAGTCAGTAAGTGATTTCCCTAACAAAAATCCATTATACTTGTGTGCACAAATCAGTTAGCCCGTCAGTTCACTTCAGAGGACCTGGTGATAACCAAATAAATTCTATTCCTCTACTGAGACATTTAAACATTTCTATAAATCTATCACTATTTCTGGGCTTTTAAAAATGAAGACATTTAAAATACTTGCAAAAATAGCAGCAGCCTGGTATTTTAATAAATTTCACACAAAGTGATCATCCTAATTGCTACTTCTCTTTTGAACTACAGTGCTTACAGAAGAATCATTAATTTTCAGATTAATATCATTTCAGTTTTTCTTCTTAGGCAATTCTATTAACACTTTCCAGTGAAAACAGTAGAGAACATAGAGCAAAAGCTTTAAGGTATATGTATTTTTGTATGGCAAGTAAGTGTGAATACCAATCTAAGCCTCTTGATGATGTGTACAAGGTTAGTGTTCAAACCACTTCACTAGAGCAAATATGAATTATATGTGTGATTAGTAAATGTATGTGGAGGGCCAAGAAACAGCTTATTACCATTTATACTAATGTTCACCTATTTAAAAAAATTAAGCTTCTTACATATGCACAAATGTTTGCTGCAATGTTTGGTAAATTATTTAAAGGGCACAAAAGTAGCTCATGCATATTTCTTTCTGATTGCCTCAGGGAAAGCAGAGACCCTTAATTTTCTTCCATTTTAGATGAGAAGGAGGCATGATTTCTAACCACATGGTAAAAAACACATGGCTCCAAGTCTTGAATTCCTTTCCAGGGAGATGTTGATTGTCAGAGTATAACCTCCCATTATAAAGAGTATTCCTGAAGGTGGAATTTGTATTGTTAACCAGTTATATTCACAACTCCCATTAGATGCCTAAAGAGCAGGTCACTTTTCAAGAGATCACTTGAGCAATAACCAATAGCCAGTGAAGTCACTGGGTGAATAAACAGGTGATAAGGGCTCTGAACAGTAGAATATGTGTCAGTGCAAAGGAACATCTGAATGTTGCTTATGCCAGCTGCTACCCTGCAGGCGATAAAAGATTCAGTCAATTTTCATTCCAACTAGTTTCTCACAATGGTTGCTGTCATACAGACCCTTCACTTGTCAAGAAAAATGACATGAACATAATGGAAGTTTGCAGCATTTGCCTATGTCTAATCAGCTCTCTTAATTTGTGCAGGTCCCTAAAATGAATGTAAAAGCTGGTTATGATGTTGATAGCCAAAAGGCAATGGGTATTAAATCAACTGAGTAAACTGCTTGATGCTCTACAAGTGTTTTAGAAAATAGTGAGTTAGAAAAGATGAAGACATAAATCTTTTGTTGGGTGGTTGTTTTCTTTCTCGTTATCTTGAGACTTGGCTTAGTAGTAGTCTTCATAGTTCTTAGGGTTCAGGCAATAAAGGATGGCACCCCCGAATGAAAATATAGTGGCACCCCAGGCCAGACCATAACCCCAGTTGAACTCATGGTAAATTTTCAAGCTCACAGTTTCAATGAACTTGATTGGGTAAAGGACCAGACTGCAAACCTGTAAAACAACTGAAAGAAAAGCAAATTAAAATTAGAAGATGTTATATATGAAATAAAAGAATTTAAACACATAAATATACATATATATATATATATATAGATTATGCTCTAATAAAGTAAGCATAAAAGCTATAGAATTGAAAGCCTTGGTTACTCTAAATGTACTATAACAGTAATCGTTTTGCTTAAATATTTTCACAATATAGTAAGAATGACACTGTTAATAATTAGCGAATTACTATTAGTATAAGTGCAGTAGAATAATGTATGAATATACAAAATGATGTTTCTCACCTTACAAACATAATGCTAAGTAGTACTACTTAACTAAAATTTTCTCCTCTATAGAGTCTAAGAATAGTGTCCTGAATGTCGACTCTTGTTATTTATGTACTAATTAAGAAACAGAAATTTAAATCCATTTCTACTCTGAAACTAGCCAACTCATAATTTTATTCACCTTTGTTGGCTTCACAATCATCTACTTTGGTCCAATATTCCAAAGTTCTATCTTGATGTCTTTGTCCTTACAACCCTGATCCAAAAGTTTTTAGTCTTTTGTTCCCATCCAATTCTTATCTCTCATCTTTGAAAACAGGCTCAAAAAATTATCTTTGTCAGGAAGCCACCATTAATTTTACTCTTTTGTGAGATCTAACACCTGACATTTCAATACCTATCTCCTACCTACTTTCAAAAATAATTAAATCAATGAAAGTATAGGAGATAATGGTACTATAAAAACCTAGTCTAAGTCAGGTGTCAGTGGATCACACCTATAATCTTAGTTACTCAGTAGGCTGAGATCTGAGTGTCGTGGTTCAAAGCCAGCCCATGCAGAAAAGTCTGTGTGACTCTTATCTCTGATTAACCACCAGAAAACTAGAAGTGGTGCTGGGGCTTAAAGTGGTAGAATGCTAGCTGTGAGCCAAAAAAAAGTGGGGAGCAGCACCTGGGTCCTGAGTTCAAGCCTCATGACTGATACCAACAAAAACAAAACAAACAAAACAAACACCCCCACAACCTAGTCTAATAAGTGCTACTTTAGTAGAAGATAAAATTGAACTCTTTTAGTTCCTAATTAAATTTCAAGATTGTCAGGACTAAATGGGAAACATGATGAGTAATATTTTATACAATAAAACAAATCAATCAGGAAAGGAAAGGAAGTTTTTAAATATCTAAAATTAAAGTGGCATATATCTTGTGCACATTTTTGTAATAGGAGACTCTGGATTACACAAGAGAAGATGTCATTCATTAGAACTTCAACTTCCTATTATCAAATTATATAATTTGGAATTGATCTCAATTGATTTAATGAGAATTTATAGGATGGATCTGCCTCATTCTCAACTATGACAACTTTATCCCTCAAAAATAGATGACTTCCTCTCTAAAGTCTAGAGTACAGTGTAGAGGGGTTGGAAAAGTACTATATCTTGTTGGCTGCTTCCTTTCAAAAAGCTGAATTAGAACAGAGCCATGTACATTTATCTATATATTGTCTGCATTACAATGACAGACCTGTAGTTGCAGTAGAAATTAAGTGGCCTATGAAGACAAAAAGTATTTGATTTCTGAACCTTTACAGAAAACATAAAGATGCAAACCTTGATATGTAAAATAACAGTTTTAATTATTTACTTCCTATAAAAATAATACCCAGGCTGGGAAGGTGGCTCAGTGGTAGAGCGCTTGCCTTGCATGCATGAGGCCTTGGGTTCGATTCCTCAGCACCACATAAGCAAAAAGAAAAAAGCCTGAGGTAGCGCTGTGGCTCAAGTGGTAGAGCGCTAGCCTTGAGCTGAAGAGCTGAGGGACAGCGCCCAGGCCTAGAGTTCAGGCCCCACGACCAGATCCAAAAAAAAATAAAATATAAAAAATAAAAATAATACCCATTTTTTAAATTTGAAGAACAAACATATGAACAATTAAGGGATACAAGAGAAAAACTTGACATTATGCACACATATAGTTTAGATATACTTTATTAAATTTTTAAAAAGAGGAATAGGTTGAATAGCATGTTAATTAAAATATTTTATGCTTTAAGATCCACTTTCACTTCTTCCCAGCACCTATAAGGTATTCATAGAAAGTCTATACAGCAAACATCTATCTATGGCATAAACTTGAACTACAGAAAATTCATTAAGATATGATTCTCACAAGGGATCTATTTGGAACCAAATATAAGTATTCCAATTTGCTGAGTTCCTGAAGCTCCCACTTGTAATACTAGCTACTCAAGAAGTTGAGTACTGAGGAGCATGATGAATCTCAGAGATTTCTATCTCCAGTTAACCAGCAAAAAGGCACAAATGATGGTGAGATTCATGTAGTAGAGCACCAAAGTTGAGTGAAAATGCCAAGGGAAACTGAGAATTCCTGAGTTCAAGTGCTAATATCAGTGTATACCACACACAGAATTCCAGCCTTAGTCAGGCCCTGTAACCCTAAGTACTTGGGAGAAAGAAAGGAGGGACCCTATCTCAAAAGTAACCAGTGCAAAAAAAGGGTTGGAGGTGTGGCTCAGTGGTAGAGTGTCTGCCTAGCAAATCCACAGCTGTGAGTTCTAAACATCAGTACTTCAACAAGAGAAAAAAAAATCCTCCAGTCTTTGCCATGTACCTTAACGCTGCTCTGAGATTATCATACTTCTACTTTAATACTGAGAGTGTGTCCACAAAGAGGTTAAAAATGGATATCCAAAATGGAAGCCATACCTTGTTTTTAGCTTTAAAAAGGAAGAAAAAGTTTTAGGGTACTTTTAGGACTCAGCTGACAACATATTATGTAACCCAGACTTCATTTATTTTTATCTACTTTATAATAAAATGTTTATTAATTTTAAAAAAATCACTTGGCTTTGTGAAGAAAGGGAAAAGCTCATGTTTTATATATATATATATATATATATATATATATATATATATATATATATAAAACAACAAGTTAAACATGATTAACCACTTCCCCTTAAGTATCCATCCTTCAGTTCCAAGACTAGAGGCTACTCCTACCAGGGTATGATTGAAATAGGAATGTGAGTTAGACATAATATTTCATTTGCTCATCCAACAAATACACCTTTACCACAAATATTTGAATGTTACTCTAAAGTGACTCAGGTTAAGTACAGATATCAAAAGAGACAAAGTCAGTAAATACTGAACAAAAAGCTGGGTGTGGTGGCAAAAGGATCATGAAGTAGAGGCCCAAATAGGCTACACAGGGAGATTATTTCAAACACCAAAGAAAAGTAAATATTTAATTTAAAAGTAGATACTGCTGAGACATGTAAACCCAAGCAAGCAGGACCAGATAGAATAATGGAGGAAATAATGGAAGCTCTAAAGACACAGTGGGAAAAGGTCCCTCTGGCAAAGCCAGACCTGATTCCTGAATGAAGTAGAGGTACTGACTGGTCAGGATAGACTGTTCTGGAAGGCAGGCACAGATAGTGCCAAATTCTTGAGATTCAGGAGCATATCTGGTTGCATGGGAACATCAGGAAGGATGTTATGATGCAGATCAAAGGATTCACAGGCCAGAAGGGCTCCTGGACAGCCTAGAAGACAGCTAAGAATCTGGATTTCATTGTAAGTGTATCCAGTAAGCCACTGGAGGAATTTGAGCAAAAAAAGCAGTAGTCAGAATTGCATTCTGAAGGAATTACAGTGCTTCTTTAGTGAATCAGTCAGTCCCTGGAGTAAAGGTGTTTACCTAGTGTGCTTTTAATATTCATTTCATTGTGTTTTATTTAGCAAATATTTGGCCTTTATAGTACAATGTAATGACATAGTTTTCCTTAGGGAGGACAAGTGAAAATACAACTGCATTGAGCTCCAATTGGTCTTAGACTGTTACTGTGTTGAAGCCAGAATTACCCTAAAATGCTTTAAGCCTCTGAATTATGTTACTCTCTTTAGAATCACAGATAGAACTACATGTAATAGGCAAACAGAGAAAATATAATCCTGCATTGGCAAATGCAAATGTTCTCAATTTAATAAAAAACACATGAATGCAAGTAAAAATTCCTCTTTGTCTTTCATAAACTCTGCAAGGGAGAGTAATAAAGTTCAGAAATTAAGAAAATGCCATTAACCTTTTTCTATTTTACCACCAATCAATAAGACATTGGCTGAGTTTTCTTTTTCCTGTGCTTTGCTCCAGAGAAGATTCGAAGAATTTGATGTTCTTCATGTTTCCCTCCCACTGTTTTGAAAGAGGCTATAGAACTACTGAGCCTGTAATAGAAATATGGCAGGAACTTCAAGTTACTAACACTGGTTTTTGGAAGTTTTAAGACATTCTTTCTGGATTTTTTCAATATTAAAATATTCCAAACACAACATGAAAATATTTGGTATTTTCTTCTAAGGGAATATTTTAATATTCAAATACTGGTAAGTGTAAGATGAGAAAACCTCACAGAAAGAAGCATTTTGTACAGAGCTCAGAGGTACATGAAGATGTGCCTATAGTTTTGGGTAGAATGAAGGATACATACATACTGAGATGGGAGCTTCAGAACATAAAGGCTTAGTGTATCACAAAATAATAAACTTTTGTTGTGCAAAGAGAGAACTGATGTTCTATTTTAATTGTAGATTCTATTGAGACCCTGTCTATAAACTCTCAGATCCACTACTTTAGGGAATGTCAACCCTACTTCTACTTGCCAATACTGGGATTCTTTGTGGTCCCTCTAGTCACTCAAAGTACTTTGTATATGTCAGGAACAGACTATAAGTTCTGGAAAATTCACACTGATGACCCTTAATCATAACCAGCAACCATTATCAGTTACTCTCAGAATTTGGTAAATACCCCAGCCCCATAGTCATGGGCACTGTCCACTGCCTCATAGCTTTTTTTTTCCTCAAGGCTAGTGCTCTACCACTTGAGCCACACCTCCACTTCCACATATTTTGGTAGTTAATTGAAGGTGATAAGTCTCACCAATTTTTCCTGCCTGTGTTGACTTTGAACTGCAATCC